TTCAGTCAGTACTACTGGGAATAGATAATTTTATTTTAAATGGGACAAGTAAAAGAATAAAGGGAATGGAACCAGTGCAAGACTGCAAACCAGTAAGGCCAAAAAACATTAACTTTTGAAGCCTTATGTGCAGCTCCCAGGATGAATGGTACCAAGAGATGAGCTATAGGGCCTTTGGTGGCTCCACCTCTATGCCTTTGCTGGTGGTAACCCACATGGTGTCTCTTTTAGATTGTCTCCATTTGATCTTTATTAGCAGGTAATCCATTTTCCTGATGTATGTCTTCCTGAGATCTCTGATGTACTGCTGGCTTTCTCCTCACGATTTTATCTAGTGACCTCCCAGAGACCTCCTTGACCTTGCAGGCCTTTTTAAAACTTGAGAGGAAGTTTCCATGACCCTACACCACTTGCATTTTCTTTGTAAACCGGCATCATGTGGATGACAACAAGAATTGTCCCTAATTAGAACAGTAGCTGGGTCCCCCTGGACCATGCTCAAGTAATCTGTGAATAATTGTTCCTAGCTGAACATAAGAAAATGAATCCTGGAGAAGTAATTTTTTTTAGGTGGCTCTTTTTCAGCACAGGCCAGGTGTTCTTTTTTAAAATGAAAGTATTATAATTTTGCATGCTTGAGCCTATGATGTTTGGGGTATTGCTGATTCCTAGGATGTATTTAAGCTATATTTTATTTATTTATTTATTTATTTTTCTGTATTTTAGGGAAGGATCTACAGTGTGGTTAGGGTCTCACTGCTAGATTGGATTCATAGTGATCCGCTTGTTTACAACCTCCTAAGAGCTGGGATTACAGGTGCATGCCACCATGCCCAATCTCAATCGCTGTCTCAGTGTGCCCCAGGGGGCTGGGCTGGCATGGCAGGTCCAGGGATCGAACCCCAGGCCCCTGAGCCTGCTTGCAGGCAGTTTAATCCACTGAGCTATTTGGCTGGCCCTTAAGTTATATTTTATATTGTCTTAAAGCATTTGTTTGTTTGTTTTTAAACTTTATCAATCACACTGTTTCCCTCAGATTTTATACAGTCTACCTTTTTGAGCAAGCTTTGTATCATCCGGCCTTACATGTTGCTCTTGATTGTCACTATAAATTTTTTTATCACTATAAATTTTATTAAAAGCAACCAAGAGTTCCCATTACGCAGCCTGAATTTTGGGCTGCCTTACATTTTTCTTTCCTATCAGGTCCACTTCCCTTAATCTTAGTCTCCCACAAAGTTTTAGAATTTGAGAAAAACTAAGATGTACTTTTTCCACAGCTCATACACATGACCTCTAGTTCAGTTTTTAATAGATTCCTTGTTCAGTTCAGGAGGGGAAGGATGAGCCTGGGAAAAGGATACCACCCTGCTTCAGATCAGAACCTTGAAGCCTTCTGTCCAGGTCCCAGCTCCTAATCCCACATATCCCTGTGCACTCATCAGTGGATTAATTCACAGATGAATATCATAACTTCATGATCCAATTACCTCATAAGTCCCACATCTGAATGAGACTTTTAGGAAGCATTGTAGATCTGAACCCTAGCACATATATTTTGTTCTTTCTTTCTCTTTCTTTCCTTCCTTCCTTCCTTCCTTCCTTCCTTCCTTCCTTCCTTC